AATTCGTGTTAATAATAGTTAATTAGAAGCTGATGAAATTCGTTGCATTTCTAATCGTTTCGTTTATTTTTAAATAGCATTTTATTTGTTGTATTGCTGAATTTCTTGCTATGTTATCACATGATACACTTCATTCAAAACAAGTTATTAAAGTACAAGATTTAATAAAACATTATGATTCATTATTAGCAAGTGGACATGAACCTGAAACACATGGTAGGAAGCAAAAAGAAACATTTTCGAGAAAAAGAAATTATCGTTAAAATTCTTTATTTAGCTTTGGCAGCATTAAAAGCAGTTTTATATGATTTTTTTCTTGTTCGAGTTATGCGAATAATTAAAATTCCTAAAAAGTTTTATTAAATGAGAGTGAACAACAAGTGTCTCTCTATAAGGTCTCAAATATCTTAGAAACTCGAGAGGGTGTGAGTGTGGGTGTGTAGATGTAATCTTTCTCCTCGATTGAGCCCACACCCACACTTCAACGAATTGATGATCTGAAATAATCATCTTGTTGTTATGTATTTGAGTTTGAAGGAAAACTAGGCGTCTTAATTATTATAAATAAAAGTATCTTTTCATGTCATGTGTATGTACTGAAAAAATAATAATTGAATTTATATTGTTATAGGCTTTGCGATTGTTCACAGTTATTGTTAATAGTGTTCAAATTGAAGATGATAAATGGGAACGTCTTTCACGACAAATTGTCGATTTACTTCTTGCTCATTTACAATCTCAAGTTATTTTTTTGTTCAAATAGGATCAATCACTTTTGGATATTTATTCCACACAATTAACACTATTTGATGTTGTGTCATCAGTTGAATTACGATCAATTGATTCATTTGTTACTGCTTTTCGAGCATTAGTAAATAGAAATGTTCGTTGTTTTTATTTATAAAATTTTCCTGTAGTTCAAAATTTTTTTTAGAATGTCAATTGTCAATCTACAAATCGATAGTTAATCAATATAAATATAATACTTCGATGTCTTGTACAAAATTCAACTGAAGATGCTATATTAACATGATAGAATGATGTTTTATCATCAGTTGATGGAACACGAGATGAAACTTTTAGTGCGTAAGTATTCGAAATGATTTTATTTATAATTTAACAAGTATTATTCTCGTTTTTGTTTTCAGAGCTCTTCTTCGTGTTTTACATGACATAATATTATGAATTTTAACTAATACTCGACAATTATGTGGTCAAATCAATATGACATTAGTTTCTCTTGCATCCGATTATCTTTATGTACATATCACCCATTAGTTTGAAGATAAAATTTTCCTGCAATTCATTAATTACTAATGAGCTAGCGAAATACATTTGACTTTAAAATTCCTATGCTTATATAAGATCTATGATTTTATTTTAGTTAAACAATTTCGAACAATTGTAAATGATTTTCGTCAATTATGAATTCATGATGAAACTGTATATTGTCTTGAGACATTTTCATATTTAACTATTTTAAATGAATGTTTTAAATTATTATGATCATCATTTTATATCTCATTATTATTACAATGGACACATATTCTTAATATGCTTGATTATACACAAGAAGCATGGTGATCACCAATATTGACACCATCATCAAGAATACATTTATCTATCAGTGGTCAATTACAATCTTATTGTGATTTAATATATCATCATGAATTATATGTTGCACATTTTACATCAATAACAACACATTATCAATTATTATTATTATTTTTTATTTTATCTTATACATCATACATCAGTTGCAAGCAGAGATGTCCATCGCGGCGCTGCCGCTGCCGCTGCCGCGGTGGCGGTGGCGGCGCGGCAGCGGCAAGTTTTAAAAAAAAATCACCGCGGCAGCGGCGCGGTAGCGGCAGATTTTTTTAAAAGTCATCGCGGCAGCGGCGCGGTAGCGGCAGGTTTTTTAAAAAACCATCGCGGCAGCGGCAGGATTTTTTTGGAGGACATTGAAAAACTGTATGAATTTAATAGAATTTCACGATTTACAAATGAAACGCCCTGATATTGAATAAATCTGATGGACTAGTACCCATATCTCTGGTCAAATATAGTAACAGCAGTAAAATTAGAAACACTTTTTTGAAAACCGTCGCGGCAGCGGCGCGGTGGCGGCACGTTTATTTTATAATTCATCGCGGCAGCGGCGCGGCAGCGTTTCTTTTATAAGTCATCGCGGTGCGGCAGCGTCGCGGCAACATTTTTTTATAAACCGTCGCGGCGCGGCAGCGGTGCGGCAGCTTTTTTTTTCTAAGGCCGCGGCGCGGCAGCGGCAGATTTTCAGCCGCGATGGACATCTCTGGTTGCAAGTCATTTATATTTTTGTGAAAGAATACATTTAGATGAAAGTGGTCTTCTATTAGTTTTATTAGTTGAACAATTCCTTCCATTACCATTAAATAAACAATTATGACCTAAATATATACCATAACTTTTATAAATATTATCAGTAACAACATCAATTGATATTATTAAAGAAGATTTTAATAATCTGAATTATCCTATGGATATAACAAGAAAAATTTATGCACAAATGCTTAAAAATATAACTTATAAAAAATGATTACCATTAATGATGTCACCGGTATATTTTAGTTTAATTTATCGAAATTAATATATATATGTATAATAAAAATTTTAATTCAATTAAAAGAAATGTTTTTGTTTTTACTTTGACATTGTTTATGTGCTAGTAATAGATGAGACTTTTGAATAATTCAAAATTTCAAAAAATATTTTGAAATAGAAAATATGCAGAATTTCAGGTAATACAAATCGTAAAGGAAAGCATTTAAGCTACATTAGTACAATGACCGAATAATTCCTCTCGAATCTTATAGATCAAATTCTCAGTCGTGCTATTTGTACTATTACAATTAAAGAAAACGACGTCTTTCTAATATTATATTTCGAAATAAATTGCATTCGAGAATTTCGATAAACTCTCTATAAGTTTGAACTCGTGAACTCTGAAAACGTATTGGATTTTTTCCACAGCATTAAATTTTTAGGATGATTCTTATAGTAAATGAAAATTAATTTGAGAAAATAAGAAACAATATAAATCTGTTCTTTTTTTGTTTTCCTAGGATTTTGTATAGTTATATCAAATGAAACAAATTAAAATGACATTGAAACAACACGTAATAAAATTTATGAAAAAAGTCTTTTATCATGCTTCTAATAATCAATCATATTCAGTTGCATTCATAGATTCTCTATCAATATATTTTGATACAATACAAAATTATGTTGAATTAACATGTCAATTTTCAACAGGTGATATACATGATTTATTACGTTTTATAATATTTATATCAGAAATAATTTATATAAATATATTTCAAAGAAAAAAACATCATTTCTTAGTTGTGAAACAGATCAAATAATATCATGTTGTACATTATCGAAAACACTATTATCAATATTTGAATATCTTTATCAACGACATGGTTTAACTATATCAAATATATTATAATCATATTTAAATTTAATTGAACCAGATAAAAGATCATCTTTATTATTTAACAAAAAAAAATTATTTATATATATATATCATATATTTATTGACATGATTTATATTGTATAGTTATATTATTATTTTGTTTACCAATATTTATATAAAGACAATTTTGGAGTTGGTTGATTATTAAGAATACAATTTCAAGAAATATAGGCTTCATTTTTAGCTTCAATTAATTCACCACAAATCAATCTAATGATGAAAATAAACAAACAACAAATAATTGTAAAAAAAAAAGAAGAAACTTTAGAAACAAATGCAACACAATGGTAACAAGATTGAAAAATAAACTAGATTTTATCTGTTTTGTTTTTATCAATATTAGATACAAGTTCAAATAATTTATTTACAAATATTGAACGGTTAGATACACGTGATTTATTATCCTATGGACAACTTTCATATGATACTATATTAACATCAATCCAAAGTAATAATACAGTACCATTATCAGTTAATGTAAGTCTCACATATGTTTTAATAATCGACAAATAGAACTCTAAGTTAAGAGAAAGATAAATTCATTGCTAAATTATTAATTCCATCAAATAGAAAATCTAGTATTTCTCTGACTTTGATTTGATATATAATACATGCAAACTATCTTATTTCATAGAGATAAAAGTTTATATCAATAATTTCAAATATATTCTATCAATCAGAAAATTAGAGTATGAACATTTTCTTTGCTGGCATCTACCTTTAAAAATATATAATTTAGAGTTTATTTGATCGCTTATTTTTTTCATCATGGTTTTGATTTAACATTATCATTACAAATTCTAATTGAAATATATGTAATATAAATTAATAGGTTCAATTATATATCTATCTGATTTATTTGTACATGGTTTGATGAAGATGATTTAATGATATCCTAAATAAGTTATAATTTATGTAAATCTAGTACATTACTTGAACAAAGAACAAAAGAATATAATGAATTATATATACATTTAATTGAACGTAATTATAAATTAATAACTAAAACTCATGCATATGCATCATGTTTATTTTTACTTGAAAGTCATGTAATTGATTTAAATTCATATGATATTTGATTATCATTAATTAATGATGATAATTTAACACAAAAAGTTATATCAATTAGTCTTGAAAAACTTTTAATAGTTGGTCAATATCCCAAAAATGATATATAGTGTTAATATTTTCACGTATTTATACATTATTACAACGACCAAATAAAAATACAAAATCCATTAAATAATGAACATGTTAATAAATAACAAACAATAATTGATAGTTCATCAATAATATCATCATCAGATAATATTCTTATTGAACTTGTTGAAGAATTATATGCACGTACAAAACAATCATCAACATTAGCATATGAAGCTTTACTTTTATTACGTCCTTTATCATTATTACTTGCACACATTAGTTTTTTTTTTCGTGCTTTAATTAATGCACGTTATTCAGCTAAAGTTAATGAATGGACTTTATTATCAATGACAAATATTGCACAAAGAAAAATCACTATGTATGGCTATATGGGGGTTAACTTGTCTTATGTTAAGTGCGTGTCTATCACAGGGTGTGGGTGTGGGTGAAGACAAGACCTATAATGATACCCACACCCACACCCTCTTATGAGTAAAATTCTGCCTATGGTTAAATATTCTTCCTAATTTTCTTTTTAAAAATTATCAAGACTTACACATACGATTAAAATTTATTTGGAAAAGATAAATAGTAAAACATTAACGAAAAACAAAAACTCTTTATTGCAATCCGAAAGAATGACGATCAATACAAAATCAATAAATTTCGCCATGAAATGTTAAAATGAATTTTCATTGATAATATAGTATATCTTTTACTATTTTTAGGTTTTTATTGATGTTATCACGTTTCAGTGTTCGTTTCGAAGAATCAGACAATCGTTTATTTCTTATTGCTGTGATCGAAAATAGTATCTGCAGGTATATTAAAAGAAAACTTGCAAATATCAATTGTATCAACAAAAAACAAAAAATCTATTTTATTTATTTTAGTTAACGAATATTGAACATTAACGTCCATATGAACAAGCATTCACACATGAATCGAATTCAGAAAAATTATATGCTGATTTATTTGAACACGTTCAAAATACGGTGTGGATGTAGATGTTGTTTGGATATGTTGATGAATCATATACTCTCTCTCTCTGTCATCCATACCCACACCCTCAATAAAGACTAAAAATATCAATTCATAAAATGGAAACATAACAACAAGAATTAATTTATCTACTTTTTTTCTTTTTACTAGAATCGGTCTCTATTATAACAATCATATCTAAATTTTCTAAATCAATCAGAATAGATTGTCATTTATTTTGTGCTCTAATTTCTGTTTGACTTATTGATTTATATTTCATATCGTGTGTTTTATTATGGTTTCAATCATTGATTTAACTAGTAAATAAGTCGATTACATGTATCCATTAAACATATTTTAGCCATTGAAGTTTTAACGAAAACTTTTTTAAATCGTGTCGTTAGAGTTTAAGAGAAAGTTGCACAAATCTGGATCAAACCTTGCATTTATAACCAGTACTTTTAATAATATCAAGAAGAATATGAGTATAGATGTTGATATTCTGTTTAACCACATCTACAATCTTTGAATCGTTTTGGTTTAGTAGATTATATGTAAAAGCAGCTACCATACTTCATCCTATTGAACTGTTTTCTGAAAATCCATTGACAATGATAAATTCAAAAAGTCTCGCACTACACAATTGTTTCTTTATTCAAATAACAATTCTTTTTTCTTGATTTATTATTCGTATTTTTTATTATTTTATTATCAATACAAAAAAAATTTCATAATAAAGAAAAAAAATTGAATATTTTAATGTAAAAAGCAATTCATCATTGACAGTATTTAACGATAACTATCAGAAAAGTAATCAAACCAACTTCCACAGGTTCGAGTTCAGTTCGATGCCTGACAAGCGCGGTATTATCCTGTAAAATTATTTTAGATTATAAATTTCTGAGAATCTTTTTAATGAAAAGCATTAGATTTTATTTTAAATTTATTTAACTTTTTTAAAATTTATTGTTGGATTTTTGGTAAATGGTTACAAAATGTAAATTGATTGCTTTGCAAAATATTCCATCGAACATCGTTTGATAATCACATATAACATCACAACTTTACAAAAATGATTATATCTTAGCTAATCATTTTTTTTTCATATGTCTATCTATATTTATTCATTTTTTCAAAATTACTAATATCTGTTTATGGAAGAAGTCGTTGTTTCAATGAATAGTATGATGTTGAATCCTGTTCTATTTTCATTATTGAAAATAGGAGAGACGATTAGCTTCAAAGCTTTTTTTCTCACAATCTACTTTCGTGATTTAAATTTTGTGTTCTAACTTATTTAACTTTGTTTCAAATATTTTTTTTGTTGTTAACACAGTAAACTTTGCATACATGTGACGAAATAAAATAAAGAAATTTTTTCTCGTAAAATTTAATTTAAACAGAAATATATACAATAAGACGTGAGTTTTCGGTTCATCTACAAAGCCATACATTCTATTGTCTAGGAATTCGTTGTATTCTTCACTTTTTCTTCTGAAGAAGTGTTTCTTTTTTTTTGATTTTGGGACAATTATCAATTTAGTTTGCGTTTTGTTTCAACAAGCAAGTCGTTGCAAACCTTCTAGATTAAGAAAATATTTTTCCACAATTACAGTTTATTGTCTGTCTCTTCTGAATAGATCAATCAATCTTATTCACATTTTTCTAGCTAATAATTGTCATTAATATCTAGTTTTAAGAATCATTAGGATCATAAACTCGATCATTCGGTTTTATTGTAATATAAGATTACCTGATTTTCTCCAATACGTCATTTCTTGAACTCTTGCAAAAACATCCTTTCTCAGGCATTCGCTATCGACGATATTCAGAAACTCTAAGATATTATCAGTTAAATCTTCTAATCTTAAATAAATATATTTCTCCTGAATAATTGAAAATTCAGATGAAATTAGAATTGACTTGTATCACAAATATTTACTCTGTTCTTTAATTAACTTTAAGAAAATCTTATATTTCTCGCCAAAAAAAAGCAATCTTTGTGTTTGGACATTTGGAATATAAATTTTTCAAAAGTTATTCAAAAATAAAAGAGAACTTTGCAAGGTCACGATCTGTAAAATGATAATGCTGAAATCTTGCAGAACGCTGGTAGAAGTAGTTAATAGTTATGCCATTGATTGTTTTAAAAGCTATGCATTGAAAATAAAAACAAAAAAACATGTCTGTTAACTCCTACTCAAGTATTCGCTAGTCAAAGAAACATTTGAATCATTAGCCTTAATAGTTATTTCCATACAATGTAGTATTTATACGCAAATTTTTTGATTGTTAGTAAATTTATCAATAAAAATCTTGAACAAAGTGTTCAAATTCATCTGAAAAATCATGATTTTTATAAATTTACTTATGCGCTCATATAAAAAATGTGTTTTTTTCTTAACTACTGTTTCCTCGTACATTGAGATAAGTCCAGTGAATGATAAAGTTAATTTCGTCAACTGTTGTCTTTTAAAGAAGACTCATGGTTCCACAGACTATGCATGCCTTTTTCTTTTCATATCAAATATAATTGTTGTTGCTCTTTTCAAGGAACTATTGCCTTTAGTCAATTAATTTTTGGTTAAAGAAAAGCATCAAATTCTGATAGCATTTGATATCAATATTTTCGAAGTAAATCATCAGTTAAGAAGAGAGTTAGGAGATTTACAAAACTTTCACTTTGATCTGATTATCTATAGATGACTGAATCAATTTGTTTGATCTGGCTCCTCTATTTCTTTTTTCATAGATCTTTTAAAGTTGTACAAAAGATATCTTTTTCTCTATCGCATTCATATAGTTTTTGGACATAATAAAAGCCGACTGAAAATTTTTGACTTCTATTAGTAAAATTAATGTGGTATATTATCAATTTTGAGTGAATAATTTCGTCTTATATTTTTGAGAAAAATTGTTTTTCATAACATCAGTATGTCTTTCACCTCTGCACGTGTTTTATGCGAGACTTATCATTTCAATGGAATAATATTCATTTATCTAACATCTTCTATTGAATTTTAAAAAGAACACTAAGATAATTTTAATTAAAGCTGCAAAAATCGTCGAAAAATATATCCAACCAAGTAAGATATGAGACAACAAAATTTCAAAACAGGAAACTTTTCAAACATAAGATTGTCAATATAAATACCTTTAGGAATATAAAGAATGTTACAAAATAAAAATCATAATCATCTAATATGATGAATATTATTCCATTGAAACGATAAATTTTGTATTAAATCTATTCAGATAAAAAAAAAACACATAAAGCTGTTATGACAAAAATTCTTCTCAATGAAATGTAAGATGAAATTAGTCATTGGAGATTAGTACGATAGGAAAATAACATTGGACTAGATTGATGCAGTCTACAAAATTATATATTTCAATCAATGAACAGTTTATAACGGGTGGGCCATAATGAATGACCCTCTCAGTATTTTAACTATAACATTTTTTCTTTTTGATCTTTAGAGTTGGTTGTTTTTCTAAAAGATGCGCCGTCAAATTCTCTACAAAACCATAATCGAACGTACTTCTGTAGTAAGTTAAGAAAAAAAATTAAACGAAGATTATCCGACACATTACAAGTACCCAACTTTCAAAGCTAAC